AAAGAAAGAAAGAAAGAAAGAAAGAAAGAAAGAAAGAAAGAAAGAAAAGAAAGAAAATTTTTCTTTTTTGAGACAGAGTCTCACTGTCACCCAGGCTGGAGAATGCAGTGGTACAATCTCTGCTCACTGCAGCCTCTGCCTCCTGGGTTCAAGCGATTCTCCTGCCTCAACCTCTTGAGTAGCTGGGATTACAGGCACCAGCCACCATGCCTAGCTAATTTTTGTATTTTTAGTAGAGACAGTGTTTCACAGTGTTGGTCAAGATGGTCTCAGATTCTTGAACTCAGGTGATCCGCCCATCTCGGCCTCCCAAAGTGCTGGGATTATAGGCATAAACCCAGCCGAAAGTAGATGAATTTTTTTGTTGTTGTTTGTTTGGTTTTTTTGAGATGGAGTTTCTCTCTTGTTGCCCAGGTTGGAGTGCAGTGGTGCGATCTCAGCTCACCTCAACCTCCGCCTCCCAGGTTCAAGCGATTCTCCTGCCTCAGCCTCCTGAGTAGCTGAGATTACAGGCATGCGCCACCAAGCCCGGCTAATTTTTGTGTTGTCAGTAGAGAAGGGTTTCTCCATGTTGGTCAGCCTGGTCTTGAACTCCCGACCTCAGGTGATCCACCTGCCTTGGCCTCCCAAAGTGCTGGGATTACAGGCATGAGCCACTGTGCCCAGCCTGAAAGTAGAGGAATTTTAAAGATACACACAATTAGTAAAGATACCTTACATATCTGTAAATTTTTTTTTTTTTTTACAGAAACAGGATCTTGCTACATTGTCTAGGCTGGTCTGGAATTCCAGGCCTCAAGAGATCTGCCTGGGCCATCCAAAGTGCTGGGAAGGACACCTGCAGCCCCAGGCTAGACAATGTAGCCAGATCCTGTCTCTACAAAAAAACACAAATATTAGCTGGTGGGGGGCACCTGTAGTCCCAGCTACTTGAGAGGCTGAGGTGGTAGGATCCTTGAACTCAGGAGGTCCAGGCTGCAGTGAGCTGAGATCGCACCACTGCACTCCAGCCTGGGCGACAGAGTGAGACCCTGTCTCAAAAATGCATAAATAGTAAAATTAGTGAGAGTGAATGAGAGATGGGATATGTAAAGGGAGTGGGAGGACTTAAGGAGTAACTCCTCGTTTCTGACTTGTGTAAGAATAACTTCTGTGATTGGTGGGGAAAATTCACCAGAGTTCTGTCAACTTGAAAGTGTTGTTCATTTCCTGTCCCCCATTAGGGGTTACCCCTTCCATCTTAAGCAGGATATTCTAGGATCTCTCAGTCTCACAGCTCTGCCCACCAATAACCAGCAGGTGAGCCCCCTCTCCCCAGACCTCTAGATCTGCAAAAGGCAACCTGGAGGCAAGGAAAGCCCAGCTGTGAGTAGTCATTCAATTCTGGTGCTGTGGTAACTGAGTTCAAAAACAATGAGTCTTGTTACCTATCGTGAAATGAAAGACACCTCACCAGACACCTCACTGGGTTGTGAGGCTCCAAGGAGCACACATATTGTTAGGCTCAGTTCGATTCCCTTCAGCCCTCTGCCTGTTTGAAGGCAGTTCCTTATCTTGGAGACAACGTGCAGATGTTCTCTCTCTTTCCCTCTTTATTTATTTATGTATTTATCCTTAAGACAGGGTCTGTCTCTGTTGCCCAGGCTGGAGTGCAGTGGCGTGACCACAACTCAAACAGCCTCAACCTCCTGGGCTCAAAACGATCCTCCTGCCTCAGCCTCCAGAGCAGCTGGGACTACAAGCGCGCACCACTGCACAGGGATTATTATTATTATTTTATTATTTTGTAGAGACAGGGTTGGGAGTGGTCTCGCTATGTTGCCCAGGCTGGTCTCAAACTCATAGCTCAAGAGATCCTCCCGCCTCGGCGTCCCAAAGTGCCGGGATTACAGGCGCCTGCCACCGCGCCCGGACGCAGATATTTTCTATGGGTATCTGGAATGGCGTCCCCAAAGCTTGGCGCCGTGCTATGGTCAAGCCGGGTGGGGGGCACGGGCCAGCCTTCAACACCGTTGGCACCAATCACAACAAGCAACCGTCCCCTCAGGGCCGCGACGGCCCCTTTCTGCCAATGGCCAGCCCCTCACCGGTCCCGAGGCCTCGCGAGAGCTCCCATTGCTACGCCTTCCCCGGCCTCGGAACGGCCTCGGAACTGCCCCATCCTTCCTCTTTCCCCGCCTTCCAGCGGCGCTCCACTCTCGGATTGGCTGATTGAGCCGAGTCAGTTTTTTTTTTTTTTTTTTCTGGCCAGAAAGCGGTTCGACAATTGGTTCTTCTTTTGGCCCCTCCTGCGAAGCCCGCGGATTGGACGGCTGAGTCTGGCTACACAGGCCTCCGCGGGAGCGCGGCTGGGCCAATCAGGAGCTTGGCGTATTTTACAAACTGAGGAAGTAGCTCCAGCCGTATCCGAGAGAGTCAGGCGAAAAGCGGAGGAAGCTGGGTCGGCCCTGAGGGGCTCTCAGTAAGGTAAGGCACGGGGGTCTTGGAGGGAACGAGGGCTGCTGGGCTTATATGGACGAGGGCAGTTCGAGGTCCGAGGGCGAAAGAGTAGGCTCAGGGTGTCTGGAGGTAGCACCCATAAGAGCGGTCTTGCAGGCGCCGGGGGCTTGTGGGCGCGTGGATTAGGGCAGAGGTATCAGGGATGGCAGGACAGGTGCCCCGAGAACTAGTTGATCTTTGATCTCCGATTCTACCTGCCTTCTTCCCCGTCTCAACTGTAGCCATCATGACCACCCGGCAAGCCACGAGGGATCCCCTCCTCCGGGGTGTATCTCCTACCCCTAGCAAGATTCCGGTACGCTCTCAGAAACGCACGCCTTTCCCCACTGTTACATCGTGCGCCCTGGACCAGGAGAACCAAGATCCAAGGGTAAGAGCGGCCTAATGGGGGAAGACAGTAGTCACACCAGTAATGCACCCCAACACTAAACCTCACCTTTTTGTCCCCCCTCCCTCCCCTAGAGATGGTTGCAGAAACCACCGCTCAATATTCAACGCCCCCTCGTTGATTCAGCAGGCCCCAGGCCCAAAGCCAAGCACCAGGCAGAGACATCACAAAGATTGGTGGGGATCCCTCAGCCTCGGAACCCCTTGGAGGAGCTCAGGCCTAGCCCTAGGGGTCAAAATGTGGGGCCTGGGCCCCCTGCCCAGACAGGTACCTGTTGGAGCCCTGGTAACACGGCCTCCATGGCTGAGTAGGGAACTAGGAAGGGTAAAAGTGGGGTTTTGGCCGGGCGCGGTGGCTCAAGCCTGTAATCCCAGCACTTTGGGAGGCCGAGACGGGCGGATCACGAGGTCAGGAGATCGAGACCATCCTGGCTAACACGGTGAAACCCTGTCTCTACTAAAAAGTGCAAAAAACTAGCCGGGCGAGGTGGCGGGCGCCTGTAGTCCCAGCTACCTACTTGGGAGGCTGAGGCAGGAGAATGGCGTAAACCCGGGAGGCGGAGCTTGCAGTGAGCTGAGATCCGGCCACTGCACCCCAGCCTGGGCGACAGAGCGAGACTCCGTCTCAAAAAAAAAAAAAAAAAAAAAAAAGTGGGGTTTTGGGGTTTTGCACTCACTCCTGCTGTCTCCTGCTTACTGTGATAGTCCTGGTTCCACCTCCTGGAAAGCTCTTTGCTCTTAGAAGATCTCCCTTTCCTCCAGCAAAATATCATCTCACCAGGCGCCATGGCTTGTACCAGTAATCACAGCTACTCAGGAGGCTAAAGCGGGAGGATCACTGGAGGCCAGGAGTTGGAGACTAGCCTGGATGACAGAGGGAGATCCTATCTCTTTAAAAAATAAATAAATAATAAATGTCACTTCTTCTGAAGCCTTTTCCAGTTCCCCATGTCACATGTTCTCCTAATACTTTGCAGTACTTCTTTTATAACATGTATATACCTTGGCTTGAGTCTATTACCTGTCTATAGTTTGATGATAGCTTCTTGAGGATAGGGGCTTTGTCTTATTCTTATGGGACCCCAATGCTTAGAATAGTATCTTATGTAACATTCTATGAACATTTGGTGGGCAGGTGTGGTGGCTCACGCCTGTAATTCCAACACTTTGAGAGGCTGAGGCGGGAGGATCACTTGAGCTCAGGAGTTTGAGACCAGCCTGGACAACATAGTGAGACCCCATTTCTTTTTAGTTTTTCTTTTTTTTTTCTTTTCTTTCTTTCTTTTTTTTTTTTTTTTGGAGATAGAGTCTTACTGTATCCCTCAGGTTGGACGACAGTGGCATGATCTCAAGTCACTGCAACATCCACCTCCGAGGTTCAAGCAATTCTCAAGACTCAGCCTCCCCCAAGTACCTGGGATTACGGACACCTGCCACCACACCTGGCTAATTTTTGTTTGCTTTATTTATTTATTTATTTATTTATTTTTTTTATATGAGACGGAGTCTTGCTCTGTCACCAGGCTGGAGTGCAGTGGCATGATCTTGGCTCACTGCAGCCTCCACCTCCCAGGTTCAAATGATTCCCCAGCCTTAGCCTCCTGAGTAGCTGGGACTACAGGTGTGTGCCACCATGCCCAGCTAATTTTTTTTTTTTTTTTTTTTTTTTTTAGTAGAGATGGGGTTTCACTATGTTGACCAGGCTGGTCTCAAACTCCTGACTTCAGGTGATCTGCCTGTCTCAGCCTCCCAAAGTGCTGGGATTACAGGAGTGAGCTACCATGCCCAGCCAATTTTTGTATTTTTTTAGTAGAGACAGGGTTTTGCCATGTTGGCCAGGTTGGTCTCAAACTCCTGACCACAAGTGATCCACCTGCCTCGGCCTCCCAAAGTGCTGGGATTACAGGTGTGAGCCACCACGCCCAGCCATCTATTGCTTAAAAAAAAAAAAAAAAGCCAAATTCAATTGAATGAGTCTCTTTTGCTCACCTTGTACCTCAAGTGTGACTCTACCTCAAAGTGACTATGCTAGGGTCCCTATCCCCCTCAGCTTTCCCCCTTCCTGTACCTTCTTACCTTTCCTTCTCTTTCCTTGCAGAGGCTCCAGGGACCATAGAGTTTGTGGCTGACCCTGCAGCCCTGGCCACCATCCTGTCAGGTGAGGGTGTGAAGAGCTGTCACCTGGGGCGCCAGCCTAGTCTTGCTAAGAGAGTACTGGTTCGAGGAAGTCAGGCAGGCACCACCCAGAGGGGCCAGGTAATGAAACAGGATGTGAGGAGACCAGGCTGGGGGCGCTGAGGTGGGCATCCTGAGCTGTGCTGACAGCCTCTGTTGGTGTCCCAGGGTGTTCGGGCCTCTGCATATTTGGCCCCCAGAACTCCCACTCACCGACTGGACCCTGCCAGGGCTTCCTGCTTCTCAAGGCTGGAGGGACCAGGACCTCGAGACAAGACTTTGTGCCCCCAGAGGCTACAGGCTCTGGTGAGTGCCCTTGAGAGGCCTGATACTTGGTGCTTCTGGGAGCTCCTTCCAGGGACAAAGCTGGCCTTTGGGAGAGGAAGTACCTCATGATGAGGCAAGGGATCCTATTGGGGGAGATGGGGTTGGTGGTGAGGCCTGAGGGTTTAGGGTCCACCTCTGATTCCGTTTTCATCTCTTGCTCCTGTGGATCAGATTTCACCTTCAGGACCTTCCTTTCACCCTTCCACTCGCCCCAGTTTCCAGGAGCTAAGAAGGGAGACAGCTGGCAGCAGCCGGTGAGAAAGGAGAGGGTGTGGGAGAAGGTCATCTGGAAAAGAATGAACCAGTGTCTGATACAGGAGTCCCCCAGAGTTGGGGCCTTCCAGTAGCTTTAGGACTCCCCACCAACTCTGAAGGGGAAGCAAGAAACCTGTGATTACCCAGGATGAGCCCTTGGGTTAGGGTTCAGGCCTTCACAGGCAGGCCTCAGTGTGACATCAGTTTCTTCAAGTCATGGGGGGACAGGGAGGACAGAAATGTGCTATCTTTTGTTTAGTGGCTACAGTATAGACTGTGGCAATAAATGGGATTTGGGTTTATATCCTAACTCTTACCACTTACTAGTTGTGCAAGCTTGCCTTCACCTCTCTGAGCTTTGGTTTCTTTGTCAAGTGAGAATAACATTTGTATCATCATTAGAAATTGTCATGAGAATGAAATGAGATGATGTTTGTAAAGCACTTAGCACATGTCCAGCTCATACTTGGTACTCAGTGACTGCTGGCTACTGTCCTTATTGTCATCAGGACTTCAGTGAGCCAGGCCTCAGGATTGCTCCTGGAGACCCCAGTCCAGCCTGGTGAGTGTGTCTGGCTGTGGGGAGAGCACAGGGGCAGTTGGGCTGCCTGAAGCAGGGAACAAGATCAGATAAAACTCAGCAAGCTGGGAGGGAGCATGAGAAAGTGGGAGGCTGGGAGGCTAGGTCAGAAGGAGAAGAAGAAGAGACTTTCTAGATAGGCCAGAGGTTGGCACAGTTGCACTTGTGTCAAAGGAGATGGTCTCCATTTCGGCCCTCTCTCTGCCACTTCCTGCAAGATTTATCTTCCACTCACTGTTTATCCCCAGCCCCTAAGTGTCATCACCACATCCCCAGCCTACTCAGACGTTCAGATTAGTAAGTGTTTACTGAGAGTGCTGGGTGTTGAGGGGCTGCTGGATGGGTTCCTGTCCCTAATAGTGCAATGGGGGCTATTAAACTAATATACCCTCTTCAGAAGTTGTAGAACCCTGTGCCAAACTTTGGTGGGTGTTCTAGAGTCTACAACAAATGTACCGTTTCTTCCTAGCTTTCTCTCTCCCTAAAGGAGAACATGAGGTTGTCACTCGCTCAGATGAAGGAAGTGTGGCCTCTCTTGGTCTGGCCCAGCGAGTACCATTAAGAGAAAACCGAGAAATGACACATACCAGGGTGAGATGCGACTCTCCTGGGATGGTGGGTGGGAGGTGCAGGAGATGCTTGGGAGAATTTCGCAGCAGCAGCCAACACTGAGAATTGTAGGTAGAGCCAGGCAGTCTTGGGCCTCAGGATGTTATTGGGTAGGTTTACCCCAGATGCACCCAGTCTCTCTCCAATGTGAAACTGACCTCTCTTTATCAAATGTCTAGGGCCTGGGGTGAGAGATCATATTTGTATCACTATCAGATCAGTGCTAAGGGTGAGACAGATCTGCCACTTGTCAGCCAAAAGCATTCATCCCTTCGCTTCACAAATATTTACTGAGTAGCACCAGCCTACTGAGTGCCAGGCCATGTTCTAGGCTCTGGACATACAGCAATAAACAAGTTCATATTCTAGAAGGGGGAGACAAGAAATAAACACATATATAAAATAGTGTCTCAGATGACTATAAGTTCTCTATAAAAAAATAATAAAAATAAGGCACTAAAGGGGAATTGGGAGCAGGGGAGTTGGTGTTGCAATTTAAAATAGATTGGTCAGGGAACTCTTATTGAGAAGATGATGTTTAAGTGAAGACCAGGGGTTGGAGGAGGAGTGAGATATGTTGAGATCTGGGGGAAGGAATATTCCAGGCCAAGAGAACTGAAGAGGCAAAGGCCCTGGGGAGGGAATGTGCCTGGCATGTTTGAGGATCGGCAAAAAGGAGAGGCCAATGAGATTGAATTAGAGTAAGGAGAGCGGTAGGAGATATGGTTTTAGTGATAACACGATCAGATTGGGTAAGGAATTGTACACCAGTGTAAGTCCTTGGCTTTTCTTGGAAGTAGTGGGAAGCCATGGGGAGAAGGGTTGATCAAGAAAGTGACATGATTTGACTTAGGTCTTTTTTTTTTTTGAGACGGAGTTTCACTCTTGTTGCCCAGGCTGGAGTGCAGTGGCATGATCGCCGCTCATCACAACCACCGCCTCCCAGGTTCAAGTGATTCTCCTGCCTCAGCCTCCTAAGTAGCTAGGATTACAGGCATGCACCACTATGCCTGACTAATTTTGTAGTTTTAGTAGAGACAGGCTTTCTCCATGTTGGTCAGGCTGGTCTCGAACTCCCAACCTCAGGTGCTGTGTTCTCCTTGGCCTCCCAAAGTGCTGGGATTACAGGCCTGAGCTACCATGCCTGGCTTGACTTAGGTCTTAAAAGAATCACGCTGGCTGCTGTAGTGAGAACAAGATATAGGAAGACAAAGGGAGCAGGGATCACTCTTCCACCTTTCTCTTCTTCACAGGACAGCCGTGACTCCCACCTGATGCCCTCGCCTGGCCATGTGGTGCCATGTCCATCACCCTTTGGACGGGCTCAGCGTGTACCCTCCCCAGGCCCTCCAGCTGTGGTTTGTGTCAACAACTGGGGGCTGGGCAGGGGCAGAACAGTCTGGCCAGAGATCCTTGCTAGGTCTGCTAAGCCACCCACATCTCTCCCCAGACCTCATATTCAGTGTTGCGGCGTCTCACCATTCAACCTAAAACCCGATTCACGCCCATGCCATCAACCCCCAGAGTTCAGCAGGTAAGAGAGGGCATGGGGAGGTGGCTGGCAGAAGCCATAGCTAGGGGAGAAAGGAGATGGATGGGTACAGGAGAGAGAAGACAGAAGCAAGGGGAGGTTGAGTGCCACCTGCGGGTGTCAGGCCTTGCTGACATCTCACTTCTGTGCCAGGCCCGGTGGCTGAGTGGTGTTTCCCCTCAGTCCTGCTCTGAAGATCCTGCCCTGCCCTGGGTAAGTATCAGAAGGCTCCCCCTACTGAGATTCCTTGCCCTGTGCTGCCAGCCTGAAGGCCCAGGAGTTTGAGACACATGTGCTTTCTGGGCCAGGCACGATGGCTCACACCTGTAATCCCAGCACTTAGGGAGGCTGAGGTGGGAGGATTGCTTGAGCCCAGATCTTTGAGACCAGCCTGGGCAACATAGTGAGACCCTGTCTCTACTAAAAATTTTAAAAATTAGAAAATGCTCTCTGGAAAAGCTGCCTAACTCTCCCTGCTTCTCTGCTGCCCCTCCTAATGTACATCTAGGGCCTCTCAGTCAGCGGCTTTAATCCATTCCTCATGAGGGTGGGACTCAGGCTGGTCTTTCTCCTGCCCCATCCTGGCTTTCTTGTGTGCCTTGTTCCTTGGTGACAGGAGCAGGTTGCCGTCCGGTTGTTTGACCAGGAGAGTTGTATAAGGTCACTGGAGGGGTCTGGGAAACCACCTGTGGCCACTCCTTCTGGACCCCACTCTAACAGAACCCCCAACCTCCAGGAGGTGAAGATTCAAGTGAGTCTGTGTGGGCAACAGCTTTGATGTCTATTGAACAGTGACTGGGGCTGAGGAAGAAGGAAAAGAGATAGGGGGTCAGGAATAGGACAGTGTAAGTAGACTACTGAATGCACATCTTGATGTCACACTGGGGTGCTCTCTCCCACCACAGCGCATCGGTATCCTGCAGCAGCTGTTGAGACAGGAGATAGAGGGGCTGGTAGGGGGCCAGTGTGCCCCCCTTAATGGAGGCTCTTCTCTGGATATGGTTGAACTTCAGCCCCTGCTGACTGAGATTTCTAGAAATCTGAATGCCACAGAGCATAACTCTGGGACTTCCCACCTTCCTGGATTGTTAAAATGCTCAGGGCTGCCAAAGCCCTGCCTTCCAGAGGAGTGCGGGGAACCACAGCCCTGCCCTCCAGCGGAGCCTGGGCCCCCAGAGGCCATCTGTAGGAGTGAGCCTGAGACACCAGAGCCCTCCCCCCAGGAACAGCTTGAGGTACCAGAGCCCTGCCCTCCAGCAGAACCCAGGCCCCTAGAGTCCTGCTGTAGGAGTGAGCCTGAGATACCGGAGCCCTCCCACCAGGAACAGCTTGAAGTACCAGAGCCCTGCCCTCCAGCAGAACCCAGGCTCCCAGAGTCCTGCTGTAGGAGTGAGCCTGAGATACCAGAGCCCTCTCAGCAGGAACAGCTTGAGGTACCAGAGCCCTGCCCTCCAGCAGAACCCAGTCCCCTTCAGCCCAGCACCCAGGGGCAGTCTGGACCCCCAGGGCCCTACCCTAGGGTAGAGCTGGGGGCATCAGAGCCCTGCACCCTGGAACATAGAAGTCCAGAGTCCAGCCTACCACCCTGCTGCAGTCAGTGGGCTCCAGCAACCACCAGCCTGATCTTCTCTTCCCAACACCCGCTTTGTGCCAGCCCCCCTATCTGCTCACTCCAGTCTCTGAGAACCCCGGCAGGCCAGGCAGGTAAGGAGTTGGCTGGGAAGGAGTGTGATCAAGAGTTCCTCAACTCACTGTGAGCTGCACCCCTGCCCTGCCCCACCTCTGCTCCAGGCAATCCCAAGCTTCCACACCTTCCACCCTGGCCCAGCCTGGCTTTCCCACAGGAAGAGGGGAGGGGCTGCACTTCCAGCCCTGTGCTCCTAATTGGCTTGGCCGTTGGTGGGGGAGGAGGAAAGGACAGTAGTACATGGTGGAAGTATGGGACCCCAGACCGCCCTCTAAATTCTCCATGCCCCTCAGGCCTCAGCAGTCTGGCCCCTCGAACCCTAGCCCTGAGGGAGCGCCTCAAATCATGTTTAACCGCCATCCACTGCTTCCATGAGGCTCGTCTGGACGATGAGTGTGCCTTTTACACCAGCCGAGCCCCTCCCTCAGGCCCCACCCGGGTCTGCACCAACCCTGTGGCTACATTACTTGAATGGCAGGACGCCCTGGTGAGACTCCAACCCACAGCCCAGCTGTGGCTGCACAGTGAGCCTGATGGGAGGTGGGGAACGGGGACAGGGGGCCACCTGGGCTCCTTCACAGAGAGGTCAGCAGGAAGGCTTGGCTACAGTGCAAGGCTGGCTGGGCTGTGACAAGGTCTTCTCTCTCTCCAGTGTTTCATTCCAGTTGGCTCTGCTTCCCGGGGCTCTCCATCATGAGACAACCACTCTTGCCCTACCGTGCTTCTTCCTTTTAGCCCTTATTTATTGTCGGTCTGCCCATGGGACTGGGAGCCGACCACCTTTGTCCTCAATAAAGTTTCCAAAGTATCCACATGTCTAGCTAATGAGTTCTAAGTGTCCAAACAGGCCAGCTACTGCTGTCACTCTCCCATTGCCCACAGGGTGGCAGTGTCCTCCAGTTCAGAGGACAGCCCTGGGCTCTTGGGATCCCCCAGGCTCTCATCCAGAAGCGAGTCCTGAATCCTGAAAGGGAAGGAAGCAACCCACTCCTGCCTAGCCCACCCCCTTGCAAGCTCTGAGCATCCCACTCCTGCCAAGCCCACTCCCAAGCTCTGTAAATATGTTGGCGAGCAATTGGAACCGCTATACCCCTTGCTTTTTGAGATCAGTCCCACTTAACCTGCAGGAACCCTAGACTACTCCTTCACCCCCTAGAACTCCTTTTCTAGAACTCTCTGCATGCACTGGGCAGAAGAGCAGAAGCACCAGACCCAGACCTTTGGAATCTTCCCTTGTTAGGTTGCTGTCTCCCTCCACCTACAACGTGAGGCCCCAAAGCTTTCCTGAAACTGAGAACATCCCTCTTCCTCCCCATAGCAGAGTAGAAGCACACACACACACACCCCTTTTCTCAGGCCTTGCCTGGAATTAACTAAAACTTTGCCTCTGGCAGGGACTGACAGCACAGTAGGAGTCCTTTAGAGGAATGAGGGAAAGGGTCAACCACTCCCCCCAGTCTATGCACCAAGTTAAGCAGCCACACACAATCCCCCAACCTCACTTTATTGGATGAGGCAGCAGCAGCTGTAGCCCTGGGGCCTAGTCCGGATAGGGGGGAATGGAGACTGTACAGAATGCGTTTTAAATGCCAGGAAAGAATTCACTGGTTCCTCCAGTTCACAGGAAGGCTGCCAAGGCTGGAGCCTGAGCCTGAAAGTGGAGATGAGGGGAGGAGAGGGTGGCGAAAGTTGCCGTGACGGAGAACCTGCACTACCCTGTCTTAATGTCTTCTCTTGCCTAAATGGGCTCCTCCTGTTTTTGTTATTGCCCTCGCAAGCTGCGGGGCTTCCCTCTGGCTTTCTGGGCCTCTGAATCCCGCTAGTAAAACTGCTCCCCATCTCTGTACAAAAGAGAGAGCCACGACCTCTGCCCCTCTGGGGTCCAGCGCGCACTTGGGTGCGGGTGATCCCTCCGGAAGTCGCTCTGCTCCTCCGGCCGGGTCTCCTCCTCTTTCCGGCCACTTATACCCTTGAGCACCAAGAGTTCGCCCATTTAGGCCGCCTCCAGGAACGGGAGGGTCCACCCCACCACCAGGCTCTCAAAGGGTGGGGTGGTGCCTCGGGTGGGGCGGGCTGGAGGTGGGTGAGGACGGGAGAGAAGGCGCGAACGGGGGCACGGGGCGGGGCCGGCTCAGTCGGGGTAGATGATGAAGCCGGAGAAGGTGCTGTACTTGTTGGTGTTGCCGCCGTGCACCTTCCCGCCGTCCAGCTTGATGAAGACCTCGTCGCCCACGTCCAGGTGCAGAATGACGCTGTTGCTGGCGTAGTCGTAGTTCTGGTCCGCGTCCTGAGCAATGGCGCTGGCCCGGACCTATCGAGGGAGAAGAACACCCTCATGCTCGGTGTGGAGCTGGGGTGACGGGAGGGGTCGGGGTGGCTGGGCGTGCGAAGGCGGCAGCGCAGCCGCCGCGGGGGCTGGGGAGGACCAGGAAGGAGGGTAGGACATCACGGAGTTGCTCCAGCGCTGCCATTCACTAGCTGTGCGACGCGGAGCAAATTCCACGCCTTTTCTGGACCTCAAATTGATCTATAAAGTGAAGGATAATAATAGAACCCACCTCACAGGGTATTAGGATTAAGTGAATTACTACGTGTGAAGTGTGTTCAGAACAGTGGTTTGCTTTTTTTTTTTTTTGAGGTGGAGTTTCGCTCTTCTTGCCCAGGCTGGAGTGCAATGGCACGATCTCGGCTCACCGCAACTTCCGTCTCCCGGGTTCAAGCTATTCTCCTGCCTCAGCCTACCTAGTAGCTGGGATTACAGGCGCCCACCACCACGCCCTGCTAATTTTTTCTATTTTTAGTAGAGACAGGGTTTCACTGTGTTGGCCAGGCTGGTCTCGAACTCCTCACCTCAGGTGATGCACCCACCTTAGCCTCCCAAAGTAATGGGATTACAGGCGTGAGCCACCGCATCTGGCTCAGTGGTTTCCATTCTTAAATTATTTTTAATGCATTTTCAAATTACTATTGTCATTTAAAAAATAAAATTGGCCGGCCAGGCGCGGCGACTCACACCTGTAATCCCAGCACTTTGAGAGGCCGAGGTCGGCGGATCATATGGGATCGGGAGTTTGAGAAGAGCCTGACAAACATAGAAAAACCCTGTCTCTACTAAAAATACAGAATTAGCTGGGCGTGGTGGTGCATGCCTGTAATCCCAGGTACTAGGAGGCTGAGGTAGGAGAATCCCTTGAACCCAGGAGGCAGAGGTTGCGGTGAGTTGAGATAGCGCCATTGCACTCCAACCTGGGCAACAAGAGCAAAACTCTGTCTCAAAAAAATAAAAAATAAAATAAAATAAAATAAGAATTTGCCTATAGGATAATTTCTAAAATTCTGAACCGACTCGGACCTCCTGTCAGTCCTCATGGAGGGTTGGCTTCCCCAGCGGTGGAGCATAGGTGTGCCTGTGCGTGTGCCACAGAGTGCAGGCCATGCTGAGGTGCACTGTTGCGCTCTCGCCTGTGGGCGTGGATTTCCCGACCGAGCACCCACTGGTGCCCAGGCACGGGGAGGTCGTCTTCTGCCAGAACAGGGAGCCCTTCCTCCCCTCTGGGCTCATGGCGGTAGATTCGGGCCTCCAGCCCCCCTCTTCTAGAGAGTCCCACAGGGGCTGGTTATTAACTCATTAATTATTCATCATTATTCTAATCACTATTTACCGTCCCCAGGGCCGCAGCGCCCGCACCGAAGAATACAGAGTGGGAGTTGCGCGGTCCCCTCCCCCTCTGAAACCTGCACGAATTAGTTACACACTGGCCCCCTCCACCTCCTCCCAGATACCCCGCATAGACAAAGCACACCTACTCGGTGTTATATGCAGATAGACACCTCTCCACTCTCAACATCTTTGCACTCCGCAGTCACACACACTCCCTGATACACATATATATTCTCTCACTCCATGAGGACGCACACTCACTCCCTTTCCCCGGGTTCCTGGGGCAGCCCTGCTGGGATGAGACCCCAAAGCAGGTCTGGGGGCAGGCAGACCCTGCCGCAGTACCAGGCTCCCGCAGGCTGAAGCTCCTGGGTAGCCACCACTCCCTTCATGCGGGACATCCTGAGGTCACCACTCAGCCCCAACCTCCCTTTGCGGCCTGCGCAGCTCTGGCACCTTCTCCCACCTACCCCACACCTGTGGCCTCTAGTTTCCACTTTGTGTGAAATTTTGGTGCTAGAGCTTAGTTCCTGGGGCTATTCCCCGAAAACAGAGGCAACAGTGACTCCAACTGCCCACAAAGGCAGGGAACCACGGAACCTGGATACTGAGGGATTGCTAGGGAGGGTGTGGGGCCTACAAGACCAGGCTAGGGTCCAAGGCTTTTCTACCAGTCCCTTGCCTCTTTCCTCCCCCAAATCCATTCATTCCAGCCACCTGGCTGACCGTTGAGCTGCCAGGCTACAGACTCAGCTGAGGGCAAGGCTGTTCTAGGCCCCCAGCCCTGGGGTGAGCAATAGGACAGCTGATCGGCAGGTGAAGTGAGCAAGCTAATGTTTTCTTCCTTTTATACCTTTTCCTCAAACATCCAACCCAAATGCCCTCAACTTGAGAACAGCTGCTGACTTCCTATTGCCTGAGACATGGATTCCATTCTAATGCGAAGGAGTCTAGACTCCAGTTAGCTGGTCCAATGCAAGGCTGGGAGACCCCAAAGGCCAGGAGGGCTGCCGCGGAAGAGAGGATAGCCCAAGACGGGACAAGAAAAGAGGCCAGTTGGCAGGGCCAGATACCAAAGACATATGGTGTTGCCCATAGTTGCAATGTGAGGTCGCAGCTGCAGAGACACTCAGGTTTGAGTCCTGAGTTCTAATTCTAACACCATTCCTACACTCCCTGAGGCCCTAGGCAGGAGGTTTTCCTTCTCTGGCCCCCAATTTCCTCTGTGGGTAAATGAAGCCGTCTATCGTTCTTGGCAGCCTCATGTTCTTGGATTCAGTGACGCCTTTTGGGGGAATAATCTCAGGTTGTGGGATGAGTGCAGGGACATCTAGAGAGCGACCAGTCTGAGCTGGTTGGGGGGAGGGGCATCTCACCTGTCCGTTCTTCATGAGGTCAGCCCACATGCTGGTGCCGTCGCCGCCGCGCATGAGCACGTGGTAAGCGAAGAAGTAGACGCCTGGCATGGGGCAAGTAAACTTGCCGCTGGCTGCCTCGTAGGCGTTGCCCACGTTGGTCACCACGTCGTCGAAGCGCAGCACCTCGTAACCCTCGTGGGGCCGCCGCAGGCCCGCGTAGAAAGCAATGCGAGGCACGTAGCCTGCAGCAGGCGCCACCCCGCCCGGACCTGGGCCGGGAGGGCCCGGGGGGCCTGGCCTGCCGGGCTCTCCAGGGGGCCCTCTTGGACCTGGTGGTCCCGGGGGCCCCCGCAGGCCTGCTTTCCCGCGCCGGCCCACCTCTCCCTTGGCGCCCGGCGGGAAGGGGGGCACGGAAGCAGGCGCGCCGTCGGGGCCCGGGCCTCGGGGCCCATGCGGGTCGCACACCATGCGGCAGCGACCCAGCATCTCGTAGTGCGCTGGACCGCGGGAGCTGTGCACCAGCAGCGGGATGGCCACCAGCAGCAGCAGCACCATGGCCACCCCGACGGCCGCACCCGCCACCCTTTTGCGGCGGCTCAGCCGCGACGCGGCCAGGGCCAGCAAATCTTCTTCACTCTTGGGCGCAATGGCTGCCGGGGCCCGGGACTCTCCGCGGGCCCAGGAGGCGGTGACCCGCCTTGGGCCTGGGTCTGCACTCCCCCGACGGCTGCCCCCCACTCCCCTTACCCTGCCTCTACGGGTCCCCGCCGCGGCGGTGGCGCTCCCCAAGCCGTCCGTCAAGGGGAGGCCCCTCGTGGGTTACGTCAGGGGCAGCTCCTGACGGTCCAGAGCCCGTGGTCCTCTAGTACCCTCCGGTTCAGTCCTAACGATCCTGGGCACCTGAGATCCGCGGCTTCTCAGACGGCTGGTTTCTTACAGATCTGAGATGCCTGCTCTCCAGACCGCTGCTTTCTCAGGGATGGCGCGGTGCCTGGGTCCCAGGCTGCTCAAATAGACCGCTCCAGGCTGGAGCGGGGACTACTCCCCGCGCTCCGGACGTCCCGGGGTCTGAGCTGTGGGTGCTGCTCACCGGGCGCGATCTCCTGGTAGGTTTTGCGCTCTGCCTCTTGGCAAGCACCGACTCACCTTGCTACCCCTGCCGCGGCCCCAGCCCCTGCTAGAGCCCTGGCCCGCGCCTCTGTCCTGCGAGCGCGGTCGGTCTCCGCGTCCCTAACCTTCCTCCCCTCCCTCCCGGGCGGCGATGCGGGTGGTGTGAGGCGCCGCGCGGCCGGAGCCGCTATAAGCGGCCAGAGGCGGAGCGACCCCTGGTGCCCAGAGTGGGAAGCGCGGGGGCGGGGCAGGCAGCCGCCCCCACCCAAGTCCTCCCCGCCTCCCCTCCACCCCCGCATCGCCCCTAGGTTCCTTCCCGGCCCTGAGCGGGTTCTTCAGGGTCTCGTGGCCCCCACTCTATCTTTACTTTCACCGTTTACCCGGAGTTTGGCATTCTCAGAGCCCAGAGGAAACCCAAAACAGCGATGGGATAAAGAGGGGTCACGATACAAACACGCATAGTAGGTTCCCGAGCTAAAATGAGGGGGAGGGACCTCACAAACAAACAGAAAACAAAATAAGAAGGACTAGAAAAGATAGAAATTCGCCACCCCACGCCCCTCAGCGCCCGTGACCGAATAACATGGTAAAGGGTTCAACTAATACTAGTTGGCCTGAAGTGGAAAAGGCAAATCTCTAGCCAACCCCACACCCCCACCCCTCAGTATTGGGGCGCGGAGTGGAGTGTGTGTGTGTGTGTGTGTGTGTGTGTGGGGGGGAGAGAGAGAGAGAGAGAGAGAGAGAGAGAGAGAGAGAGAGAGAAAATAAGAGAACAGAGCAGCCCGGAGGAGCAAGCAGGAAACCGACAAGAAAGCAGAGAAGGAGCGACAGAGAAATCAAAGAGAAGGAAAGCTAGATAGAGATGCAGAGACAGAGACAAAGCTTCGAAAAGAGACAGACTGACAGCCCCAGAGGGGGAGAGGGAGAGACAGAAACAGAGGAAGAGAGACAGAGCCGGGACAGGTTGACAGATCGAGAGAGAAATGTAAATGGCGCGCTGCAGAGAGACACCCAGGTCCGTGTTTGGACTCCAATGTGACACATCAACTGTGGGGAAGACGCGGGGGCAGGGCGGCTCTGCCAGCAGTGCTAGGCTCTGGGCCCGTGTGTTGTGACAGTGTGCTCCAAAGTGTGGAGGTGACCATGGGATCCTGGCCCTGTGTGTCCCTGGGTGAGTGCGATTGTGGATTGTGTGTTGTCTTTGTGTATGTATACGTGAGAGCTGTTTGAAGGGAGGTATTTGTATTTGTCTTCCTTTTAGTCCCTAAATTTGGAGCCCACAAATGCCATTTTTCCTACCTTAGAACTGAGAATGAAGGAATCTACAGGAGAGAGAGGAAGTCAGAAGACAGTGGTTTTCTCATTTGCCCTGCTCAGCTCAGCCCAGTGCCACCCCTGCCCTCGTCCCAGACTTATCCAGTCCCAGGAGTCTCTGCCCCTTCCTCCTTCAAGAGTTTGTTGTTAGATGAAACCCAGAGAAGTTGGATCCCACATAATGGGTATTTGGGGTGGGAGTTGAAGCAAATTAATGTAAGTAAAATGGAGATTAGGTGCTAGGCAGCCTCCTGTAAGAGGGGACTGTATCTGGCTTTCAGAGCGGCTAAGACATTGCTAGACACAGGCATTGCTAGATCAGAGTCCAGAGAAAAAGCTATTGACTGCATCCTTTCTTAGGGCCTGGGCCCTCTGGGGAAAATGGCTTGCTCACAAGGACCACAGAGGCTAGGAAAACAGGCTCTAGGACTGGTAAAAAGTTGGGGCATTTGGAGACCCTGCAGGTGAGTAGCTGCAAAGGCCTCTTAGAGACCAGGATAAGCCAGGACTGTCATGTATGGGAATACATTGTGTAAGATGGAGGGCACAGGGCACACCAGGGCATGATTATTGGATGGAGAGTGATTTCCTCCTCTCTTGTTTTCTGTACTCCTTCCTGACCCCCGCCTCATAATGATGCTGGGAGAGAGAGGTTCCTGAGGCTGGGACTGTGTTGGGGGTTGGGGGAGGCCCCTACACATCTGCAAGGAGTGGGAGAGAAAGGATTGGCAGTCAGTGGGGGAGGGGCCTCCTGCTCCAACCATAAATACAAATTTTATTCAAGGTCTTTGTCGCCATTTGTCTTCCTCGGGGGGCTGAGGGCCGTGTCAGCCCTCTGCATGTCTAATTCTGGATCTGCTCCCCCAGGCTGGATGATGGATGGATCAGAGAGCAGACCCAGGCTCACACCAGCCTCCCCTGCCTGATCCTCAGGCCCCATCCACCCCAGGTCCTGCCACTCCTCTCCCTCCCTTTGCCCTCCCTCCACTTACCAGAGGCCCCCTCTGCCCAGCCGCGCTCCCCACTCCACCCATTCTACTTACCAAGGCCCCCTTTTTAAGTCCCTCACCTCTGCCCCTTTCAGGTCCCAGTCCTCTTCTCTCTAGAGCTTCCCCTCTCCTCCCATCCCCAGCCCAGGCTGTGAGCTGTGGTGACCAGCAGGGCTGCAGGCGGCAGCGGATCTGTGTGGTTCGGGAGCCAGCTTGGCTCAGGGGGAGCTGAGGGGCCAGCTCCATGAATTTATTCATGTTCTGTTGCTCTTTCCCCACACTCTGGAATGAAGCTGCCAGCTCACCAGGTCCTTATTGCTTCCCCTGCAGCTGCCACATTCTGCCAAGAAGGGACCTGGGTGGGGCCAAGGCCAGCCTGCGCACCTGGGGCCAGAAGCCAAGTGTCTGGGCTCGAGGGAATGCTGGGGCCCAGGCCGGGGTCTGGGACAATTTACCCAGAGCTCCTCCTGCAGCCAAACTGGGAAGCCCCAGGGAGGTGGTATGATTGGGAATGGAGGTAGGTAGAGAAGGGTGTGCTGCAGGACAAAAAAGAGGCAGTGGAAGTGGGGGGCTGAGTTGGCAGGGGGAGGGGAGAGGAGAGGAAGCCTTTAACAGCATCCTAGGCTCCCCCATTTAAAGGTTAATGCAGCCTTCAGATAGACCAGTCTGTCGTTGACTCTGCATTAACCTTGACCCTAACCCCTATTTATATACTTGACTCCTCTTCAATCATAAAATGAATTTTAACTCCAGAAACTGACCCTAAATGGAATGCCTCTCTCACCTGTCCGGTACCCAGGGGGCTCCCCAGAATTCCCCCCAGGGCTATAGCTAGTTGTGTGTCAGAGTTCTGAGGACCAGACTTTGGATTAGCATGTGATTAGCATATGATTTGCATGTGACATGTACCTTCTACTCTGCGGAAGTTTTCATGTTAAAATTTTATGAAGTCTAGTGGAAAGGTCCTGGCTCCTTGAAAGTTTTCTCCTTTTGTTCCTTCTCTCACACTTCTTGTCACTGACCCAGACCCCCTCAAGGGAAGAAAGAGGGTGAAGAGGTGAGCAATAGAGGGCCCTTGGGAGGGAAGTCTCCAGCAGAGTCATATGCCTCCATCACTTGAACGAGCCTCAGTTTCCTCATCAGTAAGAGAAGAGAAACCTCCCTTCCACCTGACATTTTACCAAGATCTAAGGAAACACTTTTTTTTTTTCCTTGCACTCTCTCCCTCCTCCCCTTCAGGGCCAGTCACAGTGTGGTTCTCCCTACTCATTCCCACACTCTGGCTTTCAGCTCCCACATTGAAACTCGCATGGATTTGGAAGCAGCCTGGGTTGCCTGATAGCAGTCCGCTAGTATGAAGAGAAAGGAATCCATGTGAGAGGACAGGGGAGGCATGGAAAGGGAAACGTTATTGAGTCCTTATTGTATTTTAGGGCTTTAACATGCAACTTCTCATTGCATCCTCACAGCATCCCTTAGAGTTAGCTCTATTGTCCCCATTTTACAGGTAAAAAAACTGGGGCCCAGAAAGGGGAAATGACTTGTCCATTATCACCCTGTAAGGGATAGTCCTGGAATTAGAGTTATGACCTCCTGGCTTTCTTCTCAGTTCCCTAGAGGAGAAAAATGGCACCCAAGGCAGTGTAAGAGTGAGAGAGGCAGGCCAGGAGTGGGCAGTGAGATTTGAATGGCTGCTGGGAGACTTTTGTATGTGAGGCCAACAGGGTTGGGTCTTGGCTCCGTGCATCTCCCAACCCCCATCCTGACACTGTTAAACCTGACACCCAACAGGCGCTCAACTGTTGGCTAAAGGATGGCCAAAGTTAGTTTCAAAGAACAACTGTCCAGATAGAGGAAGAGAGGGCAGAGAAAAGGGAGGCAAAGGAAAATGAAGCGAGTCAAGGAAAATTTGCTTAAGGGACAAAAGGGAAACCTGAAGTCGGCTCTTCTCCAACTGCAGTTGGGAAAACCGTCCCAGCCCAAGAACCTACTCATGGTTTGACTCCTTGCAGAGACTACCCGCCTGCCTCTGCCATCAGGCAGAGAGAGTGAGTGCAGGGCCAGGCCCAGGGCTCCCACTCATCAGCCAGTGCCTCTGGCACCAAAACTCAGTGCAACCTTAAGTTCAAAGTGTGGCACCAGGATCCACAGGGCTGAAGACAAGCTCCTGGCTTCCCAGAGAGTGGGTAAAGACTGCTTCTAAGGTGTCTGTCAGGCCAGAGCTGTTGCTGACTGACTTTGGCAGCCCTCCACCCCTGGCCAGGTGCTGCTCCTAGCCTTTGCCTCTTCCACCTTCCTTTGTGCTCCCCGCTGCCTCCACCACTCGCCAGCTCCAGCCTTCAGTTAATGAAATGTGGGGATCGGCTGCACAGAGAGCTGTCAGACCCCTTATTTCTCCGCTGGGATATTGACTTCGGCTCTGGGAGACCCACAGATGAAAGGAGGCGGGTGGGGTGCGGGAAGCTGATGGGGCGCAGGCTGACGAGAGCCCAGAGACCAGGAGGTAGTGCTAATCTCCAAGTCTCGAGGGCTTGGCTAAGCGAGGAAGGCCCTAGGATGCTCTTTCTGCTTGGGGTCCCCAGCTTTTCTCTGACTAGCAGGATACTTAACGAGCCCCAACCCATCGCACCCGGACCTGGACCCCAAACTAGCACCCCAGGCGAGCCGGACTTCAGTGAGCGCCGCGCGCAGCGCCTCGGAGCCGGAGACCGCGGCCCGGTGCTTCCTCCCATCTTCTTCCATCCCTTCCCTCTTGCTCCCCCTCCCTCCTGCACTCCCTCCCCGGCGGCCGCGGCCTTTATTAGGGATTCCGCGGCTGTCGGTCCCGCCATCCATCCTGTCCGCCGGCAATTAGGCGGCCAGACAAAG